AAAAAAAAACAAACCATGGAGGGGCACCTGGGTGACTCAGATGATAAAGCGTCTGCCTTCGGCTCAGGTCATAATCCCAGGGTCCTGGGATTGAGCCCCATGTCTGGCTCCCAGCTCAGCGGGGAGTCTGCTTTTCCCTCTCCCTCTTCCTCTCCCCCTGCTTATGCTCTCTCTGTCTCTCTCAAATGAATAAATAAACTCTTAAAAAAAAAAAAAAACCATCGAATTGTAAACTTTATATGGGTGAATTGTATGGTATATGATTTCTATATCAATAAGGCTGTTTTTAAAACATTAGCATAAATTATTTCCATATTAAGGTATTCAGCCTCCCTCTTTCAAAACTTGTTAGCAAATTTTCCAATTCTGATTGCCTTTTGCTTTCTCATATTCAGAAGATACATACTTTTAGTTAAATCTATAATCTGTTCTGTAAAGAATATGCCCACTGGTTTTATTTGGAAAATCCCATCACATGTGGATAGTCACTGATACGTTCTTCTAGTTTATTTCATTCTTAATCCATCTGGACTTTGGTGTAGGTTATGAAGCTATAATCGATGTTCTCTAATACGTATTTGTTGAATAAAGTAAATTTGCCCTTCCCTTCCTGTGTTCGGATGGTTCTGTTTTCGAAAACGGACCTCAGTGCTTCGGAACCCAGCGCTTTAACGTGAAGACAGTTTGGGATAAAGCGGAACAATAGCTTTATCACTTTGCCAGGCAAAGGAGGCTGCAGCAGGCTATGGCTTTCAAAAACTGCAAGCCGGTCCAGAGGAAAGGGCTGGGGGGGGGGAGGGGAGGGGTTATAGGGAAATACAGGATCTAACCAGTTTTGACAGGAATTGTGTACATGGTACCTGCCTCCTCCATCCTTAGGGAGGCTCCGGGTTCCCGAAAGAAAAGCCTAAGAAAGGAGGAGAGGTTGTTTGTGGAAGAGGGGAAAAAGGTTGCTGAAAAATCAACCTTCGCTGAAGCATGAGTGCAGCCATTTTTTTTTTATTCTTATGTTAATCCCCATACATCATTAGTTTTAGATGAAGTGTTCCATGATTCACTGTTTGTGCATAACACCCAGTGCTCCATGCAGAATGTGCCCTCCTCAATACCCACCACCAGGCTAACCCATCCTCCCACCCCCCTCCCCTCTAGAACCCTCAGTTTGTTTTTCAGAGTCCATCGTCTCTCATGGTTCGTCTACCCCTCTGATTTCCCCCGCTTCATTCTTCCCCTCCCGCTACCTTCTTCTTCTTCTTCTTTTTGTTTTCTTAACATATACTGCATTATTTGTTTCAGAGGTACAGATCTGAGATTCAACAGTCTTGCACAATTCACAGCGCTTACCAGAGCACATACCCTCCCCAGTGTCTATCACCCAGTCACCCCATCCCTCCCACCCCACCCCCCACTCCAGCAACCCTCAGTTTGTTTCCTGCACTTAAGAATTCCTCATATCAGTGAGATCATATGATACATGTCTTTCTCTGTTTGACTTATTTATGAGTGCAGCCATTTTGATTTTTGTTCAACTTTATGCTTTTAAGCAGTTTCAGTTCCTTTGCAATATTTTACATATATTAACATCTATTTCTGAGTTGTTACTGTATTGGTCTGAGAGTTCAAATGTAAACTAGTAATACACTTTTAAATTTTTAGTTTTAAAACATGGCTTCATATCTAGTATTACAAGAATTCAGGGGCACCTGGGTGGCTCAGTCAGTTAAGTGTCTGCCTTTGGCTCAGGTCATGATCTCAGGATCCTGGGATCGAGTCCCAGGGTGGGTTCCCTGATCAGTGAGGAGCCTGCTTCTCCTTTTCCCTCTGCCGCTCCCCCTGCTGGTGCACTCTCCCTCTCTCTCAGATGAAATCTTTGAAAAACAAACAAACCCAAGGCTTCATTACTTTCTTTCTTTTTCTTTTTTTAAGATTTATTTATTTATTTATTTGAGAGATCGAGAATGAGACAGAGAGAGGGAGTACATGAGAGGTGGGAGGGTCAGAGGGAGAAGCAGGCTCCTCGCTGAGCAGGGAGCCCGATGCGGGACTCAATCCCGGGACTCCGGGATCAGGACCTGAGCCGAAGGCAGACGCTTAATCAACTGAGCCACCCAGGCGCCCCAAGACTTCATTACTTTCCTTTCTCAAAGTATTCCTAGCTATTCTTTTATTTTTCAAGATTTATTTGAGAGAAAGAGACAGACAGAGCACGAGTGGGAGGGGCAGAGGGAGAGGGAGAACCTGAAGCAGACTCTGTGCTGAGCAGGGAGCCTGACACGGGGCTCTATCCCATCCCCGAGATCATGACCTGAGCCGAAACCAAGAATTGGACACTTAACCAACTATGCTACCCTGGCGCCCCTCCTAGCTATTCTTGCACATTTTTTCTTTCAGATGAAATTTAGAACAATTTTACTAATGTTTGAGAATACGGTTGGACTTTCATTTAACAGATAGACTGATTTGGGAAGGGCCATGTTTAAAATAATTGTTGTCTCTGAGCGCAATGTAGTTTTCCTCCACAGTCCCACACACATTTTAAGTTTGAACATTTTCTGAGCTTGTTGCCATGATAAATGCTCACATAATCCCATTATATTGTAAAAGTATTATTTTTTTGCTTGAATATGGAAACCCTATTAATTTTGAATATCTGGATCTATTGGTTAATTAAAAATCCTAAGAAAAGATTTTTTGGGCTTTCTATTTGGACAAACATACAATCTGCAGTAATGAAAAGTCTTCTCCTTCCCAACAGCTATGTCATTTCTAGTTTCAATCTTATTGCATCAAAAAATATTAAATCAGTATTCCGATGATAAGCCCTGAAAACTTTAAGAAAGCACAGATTAAAAACTGAATCTTTGACAAGCAAGCTTATGAAGAAGGATATATATTAAAAGTCTCAAGGGTTAGAAAAAGATCCAAGGTTAATCAACTTTGTCACTTTCTGGAGTGTTTCATCTAAACTGAAGCCAAAGAGCACCAGAAGGATTTAACAGATCAGGTGAGAGGACATTTGGAGCTGTACTTAATATTTTTGGCGGGGGTGGGGGGGTGGTTCTTTTCCCTCCACAGACCACAGCAAATAACAGATCTTGTTAGTATTTGTGGCCACTGAGATGGGACTGACTGGGAAAGTGCCCTTCCCCCACCAACAGATACTGCATTCTTCTAAAGGCCTGGTCTGAATCTTTTTGCATAATTTGTGTTAAATTTTCTACCATTGCCACACCCTCTTCCTCTCAGACATCTCTGCCTGGAGAATTAATGTTTTCAGTCAATACTCACACACAACACTTCTTGGTTACAAAGTACCACACCAGCTACTAAATTTAAGTGCTGGTAGCTAAGGAAAAAAGAGTAATTTGTGGAGACAAGGCATTGATTTCTGAATGGCTGATTTTAATGGTGATATGACTAGTTACAAATGCATTCAGTCCTGCCCACAATCAAGAGTAAAACCTATGGTAGCCACATTTGCCACGAAACAGTGTTGCATTTGTTTTATATTTAACATAATGAGAAATAAGTTCTTTTCTAAGCAAACTACAAAAATCCAGTTTAATTGACCCTACAGATGAAATAAATTAAAACATGGAACATGGCTTCCTCCTTCCCTAAATAACTACAAGAGAACATCTACTTACGTTATTTGAGTGAATTGTATTTGATGAATGACACAAATTCATGTTTGGAGACAACAATGCTTCTGGAGAGGGAGCAAATTTTGCTGCCCCAAAATGTGCCTCTTTGGCATATTAATTGTTTCAAGCTGGTTATTTTTTTCCCCTCAAGATTTATTTATTTATTTTTTTTGGGGGGAGGGCGCATGAGTGAGCGGTGGGGCAGAGGGAGAGACAAGAATCTCAAGCAGACTCCCTGCCTAGCACAGAGCCCCAGCCTGATGTGGGCCTCGATCTCACGACCCTGAGAGCACAACCTGAGCCGAAATCAAGAGTCAGACGCTTACCTGACTGAGCCACCCAGGCACCCCTAAGCTGATTATTTTTAAGAGACTGCAGACTCAAAAACTCTGAAAACTGAGTAGAAGTTACCCTTTTATGAGACATTTACATATACAAGAGCAATCTCCATTTATAAGGGTGTCTCCTTCAGTACCAAGAAGAGGGAGAAGACTCTAAATCTCTAGAAACTGTTATCAATGGAAAAGGCATGGACTTCAATCTGTATAGTAACTTAAATCTTACCCTGGTTTATTATGCTTTTTCTGGTAACCTCCCATAACAGACTCCCCACCCCCAACACCTTTTGTCTTTAACTGGAGATGATGTTTAAGGTAATGGCTTCAGCCAGGGAGTTATTGCTTTCCTGGGTCTCTCCCATGTACACAGAAGGTATACATGTTATTTATTAGTTTGACTTTTTTCTTTTTTTTAAGTAGGCTCCTCGTCCAATGTGGGGCTCGAACTCATGATCCCAAGATCAAGAGTCACATGCTCTACTGACTGAGCCAGCCAGGCATCCCTGTTTGATTTTCTCTTGTTAATTTCTCCTTACTCAATCTCATGTCAATTTGATTCTTAGACCAGGTGGAAGAACCTTAATGGGTAGAGTAAAACTTTTTCCTGCCTAATGATTCACATTTGCAAAGTTTAACAGTTGTTTAGTATGGTGTGGAAGACCCTGGGTAACTGCCTAAAAAAGAAGTTTTTATTAACTCTTGCACTTAATAAGTAATGTTATTTGATGCATTACTTCATTAACTAAAATAAACCTTCCATCTCAAAATTGCAGTTTATGTTTTGTGAATGATTCCTAATAATTCCCTACATAAGACCCTAAGTGACAGTAAAAGCAGTGTTTAATAACTGACATATAGGGAACAATTTATATCTTTCTCAACTTGCATTTTTGCTTCCTTTTGAAACCGTCTTTTTGATTTTTCAAATTGCTTGTCCCAGTAGTATGAATTTTTTTTAAGAGTTCATTGTTAAGTAATCTCCACACCCAACATGGGGCTCAAACTTACAGCCCTGAGATCAAGAGTCACATGCTCTACTGACTGAGCCAGCCTGTCACCCATGTCCCATAGTATGAATTTTATTTGCTCTAAGTTATGCTAAAATGTATAAAAGGAAGTCACAATAAACAGATTTTATATAATTCCTCTAACAGGCATTAGCAATAGGGTAATGTTCAGACATATCTCACCAAGTGCCATTCTAGAATACTGAGGTACCACAGCTATACAGAAGACAGTAGGTCCATAGTTTTAGTGTGGGACTTGGGGAGATGACACTCTAAAGTCTTATTTTTGTATCTATGGTGGAGAAAAATCTCTCAAAACCTATCAGTTTTAAATGTAAATCACTTGCCGTCACACTACAAAGTAGAGTTGAGGTAAATAACCTTGGATATTTGTAAATTAAAAAGATAGATTTAACCTTCAATTTCTGCTAAATTCCAAAATCCATATAATTTAAAGCAAGTGGGACACGATGTTAACAACCAGCGATTCCAGGTGAGGGTGATATGGTGTTCACTGTACTATTATTTTTAACTTTCCTATAAATTTGCAAATTTTCAAAATCAGAAATGAAAATGCACATAAAACAAGACACCATGAATGAAGTAAAAATATAAGACAAAGTATTTGTCAATGAATACCACTAATTTTAGAGAAAAAAAAAGGACCCATCCATAGGTAAATCCTTCTGCTAAGAGCATGGGAGAAACATTTGACATGCATTAAAAGAACAAACTGATTTAAAAGGCGAGAGGCAGCACTATCATCTTATGCCCTCATGGACATCATCTTTGAGTTTTCAGAGTATGTTTTCCTGGTCCAACATTGGCTGCCTTATCTAATTATGCAAAACAGCAATCTACTGACTTGCACGTTTACACATGATGACAAAGCTTTTAAAAATGTGAAAATTTCATTCAGGAGGGTCGGTAGAACAAAGCTCTCTCCATAAAATGAAAATGTTCTCTAACTTTAAGGAATAAAGAATATTTTCTCAGTTGAATGCCTGAAAACTGCTTGTATTATGAATTTCTTCTGTATCACTTAAATTTGCTATGCTTTATAATGAAGTACATAGTTTTGATCATTTAGAGCCTCAGCTAAATGATAAGGTGTCCCATTTCCTGTTAGATCTCTGGCTGAACACTATCAGCTTAGCAAAAGAATGTTTTCTTTCTAATCTTCATTTACTTTGAGATATGAGATAGCACAATGGCAACCTGGAATCATTTGTCTTTTGGTGGAAAAGTAGAGCAGACGCCATAGGCATGTGAAAAAACAGCTTATGTGTTCTAAGGAAGAAGGAAACTTACAATCCAAGGGCTAAGGAATAACTAAGGGGCAGGTAACCTGAAGAAGCAAGGACAGCAGAAGCCAGCCAGTCCTTTGAAGTGGAGACACAGGTGACATTAAGATGCAAGTCCCTGGGAAGCTGGACCTAAGCAGATCCCAAGAGCAATAGCCTTACTATCTGGCTATACTAAGATGAATGACTGCTAGAACATTCATCATAGGCCTCAGAAACTGCCCAAATAGGGCTGCCTCTTCTCCTACTCCCCATACCTACTACACCCTTTCTGTCTTAGATCCCCACTCCCCATACACACTACTCCCTTTCTGTCTTGGATCACGTTAAGGGAACTGAGGCACTATGAAAACAAGTTTTTCTGTAGCTTGATAGCAGGGTCTGAGGAGACAGGGGCAGGGGTGAGTCGAGACAAGTATTTGGAAAATTGAGTTTCTCTGCAGAGACTATAATAATAAACAAAGATCTCTTAACTTTTTAAATAACTTAAGGTATCTTTTCTAATAAGCTAAGATGATTCATAGAATCAACGAAGCTAGACGTTGCCACTTTTTCTTTTGTTTTTAAAAGCATATAGACATTGTTAGAAGCAAAAATTAGAAATATTCACGTTCAGTCAAGCCCATTTTTTCAAGTTCCCTGAGATGACACATACCGACATGCTACCCAACACCATGTTACAGCAGAAAGTAAATTATTTACAAGGACCATTTAAAGTCAAATTTCTATTTCACCACATAAAACCTGCAAGATAAATTATATCCTTACAACTGGTTGTTGCTATAAATTTATTCAAATCAAGAAAACTGTCATAAGTAAAGCTCTCAAAGTAATTTTGGCACAGATGAAATCTTGGTCACTTTGTTAAGTCCCTGAGTTCTTTTAACAGGCTGGTTTTTGCATTCAGCTGCATCCCCAGCTACGTGGGCCACTGCCCCCCACAGGGCCTCCCAACCTACCCTGACCCCATGCTAACTCTAGGTCAACATTTAATGCTATAACCTTTCTAACCCATGGTGCTGGGCAGAAATCACACAGCTTCAAGGAGGTCCCTAACCCAAAGAGCGCCCCCTATAGTTTCTCTGTTTATCACCAGGCAGAAGAATCAGGTAGGGTGCATCTCATGCACACGTCTTCTCATTTCTAGTGTTGACTAAAATGAACCATCAATGTTTTAATGTCTCCAGGGCTTTATGCCTCAGATGCTCATCCAAACACTGGATGGCAAAGAGGTCAATGTCTGTGTCAAACTTGTTGGCAAACAAGTGGTGCTTGCGTAGCATCCAGTTCAAGTCCCCGGCTCCGAACACGCACACAGAACGCACATGGACCCCACGGCAGGGTGGGTAGGGGGCACCCTTGGAAACATCCCCTTCGAAATACTGCCATTTGACAAACCTTGCAATTGCATGCATGTCAGACATGTCATACTTCTGGCTTAAGGACAGTGAGCCTGGGACATCAGGGATCCTCTGAATAGTGGCCCAGAGATACTCATCCGGGCTGTATGTATCTTTAGCCCACTCCATAAACTTTTGGATTTTTTCGTTCTCTAGCACATACCCCACGTACATCCTACTGACCACAAAGTAGGCACTGCCTGAAAACAGAGGTGTTTCGAGAGGAGGGTGCATTTTGTCAGTCCCCGTGTTCGTCAGCTTCCCATTAACAACTGTGTAATGCTTTTTCCACCTTTCTTTTTTATTGGATGGCATTCTCTCAGTTTCTAGGTTGTTTTCACCCATTAGCGACTTGAGCTTCCGGACAATTTCCAGGTTGGTTTTAATGGGAAAATCCATACCGCAAAGATTTATCAAGTACTTCCAGTCTGCACTCATCCTGTAGAGGTCTTGCATGCAGTTGAGGTCGGCCTGAACCCGACTCCACGAGGCATACACCACACTCTCCAGCTGACTGGCCACAAAGACATTACTGAAGCAGGACGCGATGCCAATCACCGCGGCCAAAAAGGAATCCTCTGACTTTCTGTCCACGTGAATGCAGTAGAAATTCTGAGGCATATAGATGGCTCTCAGGAGCCTGTCAAGCATTTCAATTTTGTGATGAACCACTATAGAATATGCTATGGGAAACTCTTCCTCTTCTTTACTAAGGGGTTGCATGATATATTTCCGCCTCTTGATGAAAGAATTACAATCTCTGGTCATGTTTATATAGTCACTGGTTGTCCACCGAGGGCGCTGCCTAAATTTCACCGTGAGAATTTCAAGCTGTACCTTTTGGATTTCCTCTACATCCCCCCGTAAAACTTTGGTACAATTAATATTACTACTAGGATTCTCTCCAACCAGCTCCAAATGTCCAACACTTATAAATTCGGGCTTTTGATGAATTCTTAAAACAGAGAAGGTGACTAGGGAAAAAACAAGAAGGAGGAAGAAGTATTTAGTGGGATAAGAGAAAAGTCTCCTCCGCAGCAACTTTCTCAGCATTTCAAACAACAATCAGGGATTTTCCTTAATTAAGGGCAGTCTTCCGGGCTTCAAGCAGTCATGGTTTCTCTACCGTCGTGGCCCTGAGAGTTGTCAGTTCGCATGGAAAACAGCACTAAAAGAAAAATAGAAGGAATGTATATAAATACAGTCTTTTTACGACATCTCAGGTTTAAAAACCATCCTCTTTGTTATGAGGTCAAATGTTCAAAACAGAACAAAATTGGTCAATCAGCAGAAAAGGGTAGTGTTAGAGGAAACCCACAGTCTGTAATATTAATACCAGATTCTTAAAAAAGAATAAAAGGGGGGACTCCTGGCTGGCTCAGTCAGTGGAGCATATGACCCCTGATCTTTAGGTTGTGAGTTCGAGCCCTACGTTGAGTATGGAGATTGTTTAAAAATAATATCTAAAAAAACAAAGAAAAAAAACTACAAGGATGTGCTACAATATCCTACATTATACCTCTTAGGAAGTTACCTCTCAGGAAAATTGAGGTACAAATCACAGTTGAAGACCTAGGCTATAATTAACTCTCCACAGTTGGTGAGATAAGTTTTTCCTCCTGTGCCAGTTCTAAGGAGCACCCTTTGCCTTGAAATCATTACTAATCTGGGTTCCTCCTGATGCATCCATTAATGTCCATCAGTTGGCATCAGCAGCCCCAAATATTTGAAGCAAGCAGCTTCATTCTGCACTTCACCAACTTAGGACTGGAGGTGCTCTTAAGGAGAAATTCAAAAATAGCTGTGACTTCTAAGAATCTCTGAAGGAAAAGCAAGTCAAGTGAATTTTCAAACTAAACCAGGAAGACCCAGCTGAAACCAGGCCAGATTTGGGTCTGTTTTGAATCTCTCTTAGTTCAGTTCCATACCAGGTACCCCAGGAAGAGAAGACATACACAGTCCAAAATAGAGACATAGCCTTGCATTTCCTACATTGCTTTTACAGGTTATAATAATTAATGCTTGTGAGAAACAACAGTTGTATACAAATTATAATGTATGACACACCTGTTGTCTATATTCAAATGAGGAACCCGACCCATTTTTATTATGTTTACAAATATTACAAAATATATTTTGTTGTCAAAAATCAATTTTATAACTTGGCAATTGGTTCTATAACTAATAAGTGCTACTGTTCTTTTTTTTTTTTTAAGACTTTATTTTAATCTCTATATCCAACTTGGGGCTCGAACTTACAACCCTGAGATCAAGAGTCCTATGCTCTACTGAGTTAGCCAGGCACCCCTAAGTGTTACTGTTCTAACAAATAAAGCCAAATACCATTGATCATCTCCATATCAGATTTATAGAGATTTGAAACTGGTTTTTAATACCAGGAAGGATTAGCACTAGAACTTTTAAATATTTAGTTAGGAAATAAATTGTGAATATTAATAATGCAAATACAAATAAATAATTGGACATTATTAGTATAGAATAATGTTATGAAAAGTACTTAGACTTTTTTTTTACCATTTAGACTTAAAGAAAGTCTGGCTCATTTAGTTCTTGGATTCCAGGTAACATACTGTGTTTGGAGAGTGCCTTTCATGCAGTCAAGTTTCTTGTATGTACCAGGCATTCAGCAACAGTGCTGTCCCATGAGGCTTTTAAAAAAATCTGTGAAATGAAAAGGGAAATGTGTGAAGGGATGTAATGCCCATTAAGTATACACACACTCAGAAAGCATGCTGGTGAACTAATCCTAGGTATTCACTTTTTTTTCCTCAAAATTATGGCTGGTTCATTTCTTGCTTTTAAAATTTCCTTCTCTCCAATCTTAACTTGTTTTTCTAATGCTGGTTGTATATTGTTAAAGGTTTGAAAATATTTACAATTTGGGTCAAGCTTTTCCAAAGAAAACTCTAGCAACATGTCCCAGAGTGGGTGCCAAGGAACCATGTAATGGTCCAGTACTACTGGAAAATCGAATATATTCTATCCCCACTGTGAAGATTCCTGGTGCTCACTGGCCCATTAAAACAATCTTGCAGTTGAGTTAGCTGCTTATCTCATCTTCTTCCAACTATCTTGTCCACCACCCAACTCCAAACCTGTATTAGCAAGAAACGTGGGGAGATTCTGCAAAAATACTTCAGCATGGCAACCATTTAAACATCAGATCATCATAAACAAAATGATGCCACTAGGCAGCTCCTACTCCTTACTGGTTCGGACATTTGAAGAAATCTCTGTCCAATCATTAAGTGATCTGATCTCCAAGCTAACTGAACAGGGACTTAAGTGGCCTCACACTGCAAAGAAAATAAACTTTTGAAAATTAACCTGGAAAAATCACTAAACAAAGAGCAACACCACCAAACCCCGGGCAGGGTAGGAGCAAAGGTCTGACTTCCAGTTGACATATTATAAAATCTCCCTTTTCTTTCTTTTTTTTTAGAGAGAGCACGTGCAAGAGAGCGGGGGTGGGGGTGTAGGGGAGGGGCAAAGAGAGAGGGAGAGAGAGATTCTCAAGCAGGCTCCACGCTCGGCATGGAACCCAGTGCAGGGCTCGATCTCATGGCCCTGAGCTGAAATCAAGAGCCAGATGCCTAACTGACTGAACCACCCATATGCCCCTAAAATGTCCCTTTGACAACAAAAAATTATAGAGTATGTCAAGTAACACGAAAGTCTGGCCCGTATAAGGAAAAAAGCCGTCAATAAAAACTGTCCCTGAGGAAGCCCAGGCACTGGACTTAACCAAGACTTTAAGTCAGCTATTATAAATATTTTCAAAGAACTGAAGAACTGAAAGTATAAGAATCATATTTAACCACATTGAGAATTTCAATAAAGAGACAGAAAATGATAAAGAAAAAAACCCAACAGAAATCTGGAATTGAAAGTACAATAAAGTGAACTGAAAAATTATCTAGAGGGGCTCAACAGTAGGTTTAAACTGACAGAAGAAAGAATCAGTAGAATTGAGGACAGGTCAAGTGAGAGTATCCAGTTTAAGGAACAAAAAGAAAAAGAAAACTAAGAAAAATGAACAGAGCCCCCAGAGACATGTGAGATACCATTAAGTATTATCAACAGATGTATAATAGGATTTACAGAAGGAAAGGAAGCGGGGAGAGGGCTGTATACATGAGCATGGGAGGTAGAAAAAAATATCCGAATAATGCTGCAAATCTCCCCAGGTTTGATTTTAAAGAATTAATCTACACATCCAAGAGGAGCAATGAGCTCCAAGTACGCAAAATGGTAGAATCGCTTTGGTGCTGTGGCAGTTTCTTACAAAGCTAAACAGAGGCTATCCTCTCAACACGGCAATCACACTCCTAGGTTTGTTTAATGGTCTAAGACATGGCCTATCGTGGAGAGTGTTCTATGTGTTCTTGAGAAGAATGTGTATTTTGTTGATGTTGGGTGGAGTGTTCTACAGATGTCCACTAGCCTAGCTGGTTTATAGTGGAGTTCAAGTCTTCGGATTCCTTTTTGCCATTCCTTATGAAATGTCTTTCTTTGTCTCTAATAATTTTTGCCTTAAAGTCTATTTTGTCAGCTCTTAGTATAGTTACTCTAGCTCTTTTTGGGTATTTGTTTGCATGGCATATCTATTTGCATTCTTTTACTGCGATCTAACTGTGTCTCTAAATCTAAACCATTTCTCTTGTAGATATCCTATAGTTGGATCACTTTTTAAAAATCGATTCTGCCAATCCTTGCCTTGTGATTGGAAGTCTTAGTCCATTTACACATAATCTGCCATTTTGCTATGTGACCCAAACACACCGCCAAGCCTTCCCTGCCCAGAATGTACCACAGGACTTGGCAACTGTCTTAGCAAGTATCCTAGAGAAAGTCCCTCCCTTGAACACTGATGCCTTTCTTGAAAGAGAAGACTTTCATGTGGACCCCACCATGAATATTTTTAAGTAGAAAAACCCAACTTAAGGAGAAACGGAAGAAGAAAATAATTCTACCATGTGAAGGAAAGGAAACAGGGAAAGCCAAGACTTAAAGGACATTCTTAATACGTGGCTTTTTGAAATTAAAACTAAGAAGCACAAGAATACTAAGTTCTATAAAAACTGAAAGTAAACTCTGATCTTTTCTAATTCTGGTACTAAGGAGGAGTCAAGGAAGGGGACAAGAAGAAAAGCATGGAACACACATAAGGTAACAATACAGTCTCTAGAAGTGTTCCAACATAAAATGAGCAATTCCAACTGGTCAGGACTAAGGTGCAGCTGAGTATTCACTGGAGTGGGAGGACAGACAAAATGTCCTCAGGTAGAGTGAGAGAAGAAGCAGCAAGTAATATTTGAAAAGCAGACAGACGAAAGGTAACTGATTAAGCAGACCCAAGAATCCCAGACTGACAGCAGGGAAAGAAAAAACCAGCTCTATTTTTGCTACAGGATCTTCAAAAGGTTCAGGGAAATGGTAGCACAGATTCCAGAGGAGGGATGAGAGTGTCTGAAACAAAAACAAAACGTTACTGACCGGCAGCTTTTTTAAAAGCAGTTGGGTCTCTACCCTGAAAACTGGCCATGACCCAAGATTTAGTCTCTGAAGGCTGGGGCACACCAGGCACAATGGAAAGCAGGGTTTCCAACCAGGAAACAGTGGAACCGAGTGAACCCAGAGACAATAGGTATTGAGGTCTCCTTCCCTATTTGCAGCTATGAGCTCCCAGAACTTCGACAGCCAAGCCAATGCAGGAGTTTATTTACTAGAAAATCAACCAGGCCAACACTTAAATACATTGCTTAAATTAGAAATTTCCCCAAATGTTCAAAGAAACAGATTGTGTACAGGGAGAAGAAAACTAATTATAATAACCTCAGAGAGAGAAGAGAAAATATTGCATTCAACCAATCAGTAAGATTATAGGGCCCAAAAAATAGGCAAGACAATACTCCCATCCCATATGCTCTTTTGCAATGTGACCTTGCCATTCACCAATAAAAAAAATAGTCAAAATTTCTTTCCCCTTGAATTTGGACAACCTTATGACTACACTGACCAGTAGAGATCGGCAGAAGTGACGCGATGTGGCCACCAAGACTGGGTCATGGAAAACTAAGCAGCTTCCAACTGGTTGTCTTAGAAAATTTGCTCTCCAGAGGCTTCCTTTCGGAACCAGCTTCCATGATGTAATAAGCCACGCAGAGAGTCCAAGATACCCAAGTCAACAGTCCCAGATGAACCCAGCCTTCATTCATCCCAGCCCAGGTGCCAGACATGAAATTGAAGAAGTCACCAGATGACTCCAGCCGATAGTCACTCAAGTCTTCTCTGAATTCCTGACCCACAGAATGTGTGAGCAAAAAATAAAATGGAAATGTTCATGTTACTACATTTGGGGAGGTCTGCCTCACAGCAGGGACTCCAACTAATCTGAAACAGAACATTTAGCAAATAAAAAAAAGCTATTAGAAATTAATGACATGATAGGAAAAACTACAAAACTCAATGGCAGTGTTGGAAAAGAAAGCTGAGGAAAACTCTCAGGGAGTTAGTTAGGCAAACAGGCAAACCAACTGATGGGGAAATTGGAGGGGGGAAAAATGTATCACAAAGAAGGAATAGTTTCCAGATCGACACTCCTTGGAATATCAATACAATGGGTGAAAACAGATCCACACCAAGACACATTCCTGAATCAGGAAATATTGGAATACTGGTTAAGAGAGTATCCCATAGATCTCCAGAGGGGTAAAAATAAGCCCCACAGACAGGATTCAGAAGCACAGTGTCTTCACATTTCACAGAAACCATCCACAGAAGGCAGATAATGAAGATAATGGTAACAGCAGCATCAACAATGCTAAAGGAAACTGAATTCCAGAGAATTCTTTGAACCACATGAATTGCTAAGTCAATTAAGGGTAAAATAAAAACATTTTACATCTTAAGACAGGTAAAGTCTCAAAATATCTCCCTTTATGCACTTTACCTCAGGAAGCTACTAGAGGATGAACTCCATCAAAACTAAAGTATGGGGGCAGAATTTACTTAAAAAAAACAACAACAAAAAACAACTAAAGTATAAGCTAAGAAAGGGGAAAACATAACAATCAGAAAAGGTACATCCCAGGATGATGGCAAAGGAACATCCTAGACTATATCACAGGCCAACAGGTAACCGTAGCAGGCTGGGGCGGATGAGAAGGCCCCAGGAGAGGGTGGCTCTGTCGGGTCAGTGGGTGAAGTGACTGACTCTTGATTTCAGTTCAGGTCACGATCTCAGGGTTGTGAGGTCAAGCCCCGAGTCAGGCTCCGTGCTTAGCAAGGAGTCTGCAGGAGATTCTTTCCCTCTCCCTCTGCCCCTCCCCCGTCTTGCATGCGTGAGCCTGGGGGCATGCGCTCTCGCCCTCTCTCTCTAAAATAAATAAACAAACAAATAAATAAATAAAATATTTTTAAAAAAAGGCCCCAGGAGAGATGTCTTCAAGATGAAACTGATTTAAAAAACTGGCAGTTTGGGTCGTGAATTTATAACTCCATTGAAAACAAAGCAGATGAGGGCGGGTTGGGGTGACGGTCATTGCCTCCAAAGAAATCAGGGACATGCAATGATGAAAAAAGCCATCACTGTGCTCTGTGGCTTAGCTCTGAAGAGCACTGGTCTTGTAAGCACGATTTTCCCAACAAGATTCACCGAC